ACATTTTCATATTTGTCTTTCATTCATGCAAAAAATCTTCAATAAAAATTATAGTAAAACAAGGAACTCTGGCAGATGCAAACTATCCATAGACATTCCAGGTTAGAAGAGTGACCTTATATTGATCACTTCAATGTCAAGAGGCTGTACTGCAAACCAGGGGCTGGGTGAATAATCTTTGCAGGACCAGTAGCTTAATGTTAGCCAAGCAGTAACTTAATGTTAGCCAACAATGGCTGTGGGGAGGGAGCTGGGGCACCATCAAGTTCCTGCTCTCCCCTCTCTGCCATCTGTTTGGCTATCAGGTCTCACCTCTCCTCATGAGGGGTCAGGGAAGCTTGTAGTTCTGGCAGGGGGGCTAGAAAAATCAGTGCAGCACAGGCAGCAAAATAGGGGTCACTGGCAAGCAGAGATCTCATCTCTTTAGCAGGGGGAACCTCCTTTGGCTTGTCCAGTGAAGAAAGAGGTTCCTTCAAGGCCAGGAGAAGCTCCTGAGATGGGGGAGCAGATGACAAACCTCCAAGTTGGGTTGCTATGAGGACAGAGCTTGTCTGGGATTGGCTTACAAGGCAGTTTGGGTATCAGCTACTTGGAGATTGCAATGATTCCTTAAATATTGTTGTATAAAACTCTCAGAGAAGTCAGTGTGTCATTTTCCATGTTATTGGTGAGGCAGTCATAATAGTGTGCTGACAGCTTTTGGCATGTCTAAAGGAGAAGCGATGGTGTGAGATGTTTGGGGAATGAGCAGCTCAATGAGGCCCATGCATTAAATTGGTGCTGGACTCCCATATCCCTGCCAGCACTGGGAGGGTCTGGGTGAGATGTCAGAATTTTTGCTTTGATATCTGCTAGGTTCCCTCCCCCCGCAGTTAGTAAGTTCTATATTTAGAGATTTAACTTCCTCCCTCAATGTGTGCTTAGGCTGTTGGCATGGTTTGCAGATTTATTGCAGTTGGAGCATAGGCTTTTATGGCTCTTATCTGCAGGGTCATGACCATTGTTCACTCTCCTGGTTAGGAGGCCACGAACTAACATCCTTAAAGTCGCTGATGATTTGGATGTGATAAGTCTGCCACAGGAATCTGCTCATTTGTGTGAATCTGGCAAGGAGACCTGGCTGGTTGAAAGTAAAATATTTCTTAGGCTGAATAAGTAGTGAAAATATTTAAAATCATGTGTTCAATGTAAAGGGGAAGAAGCTTGTCTCTTTTGTGAGGAGGAGCACACTGTATCAGTTAATTGTTTCAGGAATAGCTGCTCAACTTCTTGTCAATCTGAGAACTAGCTCTCATAGAAGGAAACTTGAGATTCTTGCCTACATAAGGCTGAAAATGGATTACAAGTTATTAGGAATATCACCTTCTGATCATCATTCCTCGATTCAGATGAAGTCTAGGTTTGCTTTCAAATTCTGCCTGAGAACAGGAATGATGGTCTAAAAGTGGTGGGGTGGCAGTGATAGCTGGGGCGGGGGGGTCTTATCCTTCCTAAATCTTCATCTTTGGTATTATCCTTGTACATGGAAGTGTGTATGGATTTGTCTGTGCATATATAAGGATGAGAATCCTGTCCTTGGGGCAGATTTCAACTGAAATTTGCTACTGTAAGGCTTCTACACCTTCTATTAGACTCCTTCCATTGTAGATACAAGCAAACTATGTAAGTCCCTGAAGGACATAGTGACAAATCTCTTCCCAAGCCTGAGTCTTCATAGGATCCTTAATTCATGAAGATCTCCATCAGTTAAGGATATACAGTGGTACCTCGGTTCATGAACTTAATTCGTTCCGCAACTCTGGTTGCGACCCGAATCAAATTTTCTCATAAGGTTCAATGTAATTACGGTTAATCCATGCTGAATCATATGTTGTTGTTTTTTAAACCGCAAAAATATGAAACAAAATACAGTACGAAGAGAAAGAATGCTAACCTTGCTCAACACAACTTCTGGCGTGGAGGACAGGAAGGCGGGTGGGGAGGCAGTTATTGCTTGGAGGGAGAATCCCCCTCCCTACAGGAAGCCACAACCACGTGTCATGGCAGGGAAAATGGCCACGGATCCTGTTCATCACCCGATCCGGCGTTCGCGAACGGAAGCAAAATTTTGCGAGCGGTGCTGTTCGTGACCCGAATTGGTCGTGAACAGAAGCGTTCATGAACTGAGGTACCACTGTACGTCAGATTTGGTCAACTCATGAATTAAACTGGGCTACCTCAGAAGATGTGTTGAAACTCTAAGGTAATGTGTAATTAGGGCCTTCCCAAAGCTTTGTGAATAATGTGGTATTTGGAAAGTGTAAAGCAGAATGTCTGCAAAAATAGCGTCTTTATATTCATTTTTTTCTATATAGAAAATGCCAATATCTGTTAGGCTTCTCAGGGGGCAGCCTAGACTCAACAGGAACTGGTTAATCTCAAGAAAACTCTCAGAGCTCTGATTATGAAGATTTATTAAGAAAAATAGTAAAGTAATAGTAAAAAGAATTCAGTGAGGACTCTACTTTCAGTTGAGAAACCTGCTACTTATTTTGGAAATGATTAATAGACTTACCAATTTGAGAACTAGGTCTCCCACTCTACCTCTTTTAACCTTAAATGACATATTTAAAACAAGCCTTCTTCTAAAGAGATAATTAACTAGTGTTTGTTCTCAGCCCAGCCAGCCTCAAGGGCCTTGCCCCTCTGTTGGAACACCTTCTGATTCTGAACCTGCATTTCTGATGCTCCTGGACCTGCCAAGGATTTTAGGCCTGACATTCAAACTGTCTCATGCAGTTCTCTGGTGCTAGAACCCTGAACTGTTATGGACAGTTCTTGTATTTTTACCTCTGTCCTGCTAGCAGATTGCTGATGACTCAAATTTCAAGGCAAGTCTTAAGTGCTCTCTGACTAATTACCACACAACAATAAAGACTTTCAAATTTGTATTTATCTGGTTTTTTATTTTGACTTGTATAGGATACCCAGGAATCACCATTCTTTTTCTTGAAGGCAATGCCAAGATTGCTAAGAGCCAATATAGCTTTTCAAAAATGAATAATGGAAGACAAATCTCATCTTCTTTGACAGGTAACTAAACAGGGCAAGTGACATAATCCTTTTTGATTTCAGCAAAGCTTTTGCCAAGGTTCTACATGACATTCTCACTGATAAGCTGCTAAAGTATGCTTTGGATGGGTCCTAACTGGCTGGCTAACTGTGCTCAGAGATTTAGGATTAATAGCTCTCCATTGAATTGGAGCGTAGTAGCCAATGGGGTCCTGCAAGGATATGTGTTGGGGCCAGTATTATTTTTATTAATGGATGGTAGGATTGGGCTACTTATCATATTTACAGGAGATGCCTGAGAGATCTGGCCATCACAGCAGAACAAAGACAACAGAATGAGATTGCAGTCTAATTTGAGCAGGTTGGAAGATTGGGCTGAGAGGAACAAAATGTCCTTTAACAGGGAGAAATTTAAGATATTACATTTCAGGAGAAAATATGCACATACAAATTGATACAAAATAATTTCCACATATGGCAGATATGAGTCACCCAGACGATGTGCTTCTCTTCAGGTCCTCCTTCATTTCCTCCTTAATAAAGAAGAAAGGGGTGGAGAAACACTCCTTGATTTCCCCTCTTCATATGTTTCAAACTTGGGCTTTGGGGGAACAAAGCCATCAGGTGAAAGAGTCCCTCCCCCAAAGAAAGAAAAGAACACAGAAGAAAACCACCCAGTATGAATCCATAAAGGGGCAAGGAAGGGGTCTGCTGAAGCAGGATTTGAAGGGATTTTAGATTGAATCCCAATTTTATATGTTTATAATGTAGTGGAATTGTTTAAAAGGCAGCACTGTAAACTCAGCAAAAAGCAATCAGCTACCTGAAGTAATAAAGCCCTAACAAGATACATGAAGCTGTTAAACTGCAAGAATGCAAGTCAGCTATGTGGAGGGTTTCAGACAAGTGGGAAGTGCTAGCAGCTGCCTCTGGTAACCAAGGTTTTTCAGAGAGTGGTTAAGGAAAAACAACACACAATTAATGGCAAATTCTATGGCCGTACTATCTTCCAAGTATCACACTTTGATAATTCCTCCACAGGAAATGAAGTTGACCATATCTTAAGAAGACTGCTTCTGCCACTGCTTCTTCCTCCTTATATTCCTGTGTGCAGGAGGGGTGGGGTGGAGGAGGAGCACATTCACGCTCAATAGCACATCTGCAGACATCCTGAATATTGAAAGTTTGGATTCAATTGCCCTTTCAATGAGAGCTGGAAAGCACCATTCAGGCTACTGTGTTCCTTACTGTAGGAATCCAAATCTGCCTCCCATAATTTAAATCCATGTCCTATTGTATGGAGCATTTCTGGATGATTCCTCTTCAAACATACAAAAAAGTGCTATTATATACCCCTCATGTCTTTTCTATTCCATAATCATTCTCATTGCCTTTCGCTGCATCTGTTGCAGCTTCTCTGAATGAGCAGCCTATGATTGCATTTGCCTTTTTAGAAACTAGGTCACACTCATGACTTGTATCTGGCTTGTGATGAAGTACTATTCCAAGTTCCATTTCACATATACTATTACCAAACCAGGTATCTCCCATATAATATCATTGCATTTTATTTTTTTCTGAAGTGAACTTTGCATTGTGCCTGTTAAATTGCATTGTTATTCAGCCCACTTCTCTAACCTATCAATTTACAGATTATTTTGAGTTTTGCTTCTGTCTTCTAGGGTATAACATATCTCAGCCAGTTTTGCATCATTTACTAATTTCATAAAATTCCCTCTACCTTTTCATCCTAATTGTTAATGAAAATGTTGAAGAGATTCAGGCCCAGGAATGAACCCAACTGAGGAACCTCTGAGCAATATTAACCTTGACTGGATTCTACTTACCTAACAAAATTTGGACTGCCTAAGCTTGATTGAGCTTTCTGTGTGTTTCAGAACCCACTGGCTTCTCGTTAGCTATAGACAAGTGCAGAAAAGAATACCTACCTGAAATGGGGTCCCAGATTGATGGCAGGAGCAAATGGCTTGTCTGTGACAATCGTAGTTCCAATGCCTGTGGCCTGGACTGGAATAATATAGGAATTACTGTTCTCTATAGCCAGGCTGATTTTGTCCTGAAACAGTACAGTATCATCCAAATTAACTATTAGAGTAAGTGACATTTCCACCTCTGGAGGAATAATCCCTTCACTGGGCTCAATTCTCCAGAGTGAAGGAGCACGAGCCTGAAATACAATAAAAGATATACAATCAACCAACTCCTATGTGCCAGATCTCAATACTTTAAAAGGCAAGTACATTTTAAGGAAATACAAATATGTCAAATCAGAGTAAAAATCATCCCACCCATTAAAATATGTCTACTTTCACTGCCAAGAATTGATAAACAAAACATATCAAGGATACTCTGAAGTGGCACTGTATATAAACAAAGAGCAAACCCCATCCCATTCTAGCACTGAAGATATTACCTAGCCAGGTAACAAAACATTTGCAAGAAAACAACCAAGCTCAGAGAACCCCAAGGACTCCACAGTTCTGCAAGATTTTGATATATTTCATATATTCTTATGATATATTATTTTGATATATCATACTACAGTTATGTCGCACTTCTGAAGTAGCTGAGTTTTGTTTCTTGACCTGGTCTACTTGAAGGGCTGACAAGGATCTTCAAAGCCTGTCCAAAACCTTCACTGCTCCTTTTCAAGGACAACAAGATCAAGTTGTGGATATTCTGAGTCTTTTTCTCACATTTTCTACTTTCCCAGGACTGAGAAACCATTATTCCTCTCCCATGCCCTTCTCAAGGCCAGAGATACATTCTTCTACAGCAGCAGAGTCCCAGGAAATTCACCAAGCTCCCTCTGAAACCTAATTAGGTCCCTCAGGCACCGGGGACAGACAGAACAGAAATTTACCTCCCTAAATTGTAGCCATTAGTTCACAAGGGTTTCCATAAGAACCAGCCAGACAACAGGAAGACTCTTAGTGAACCGAAATGGAGACTATGGACACTATAAGCTGTAACCCAAATCCTAAGGGAGTTGAAACCATATTAAAAATATCCAAGCAGTGGGAAAACATGAGATCAGCCAATTACAATAGAGAAATTTATTTATTTAATTTAATTAATTAATTAATTAATTAATTACATTTGTATGCTGCCCATCTCCCCCAGAGGGTGACTCTGGGTGGCTCACAATTAGGCAATGAGGCAATCTATAATACTTTATGGAATGGTGGAATTGCAGAACATTTTGTAATGGAGCTGTCACAAGGTTGACTCTAAGAAGTTACAGAATTTAACATAACAACACTATTTGGCTTTATAAAATATTCAGATGGCTGAGGTTTTTAACAACCAACATTATTTATTTATCAAATTTATATCCAACTGTACTCATGGAAGACTCTCAGCTCACAATAATAAATAAAACACAATAACCAAATAAAGAAATCTTACAAAGGCAGTAAAACAGCCCAAAACAATACATGGTGTCAGATCCTAAAAGCCATCCAGAAAAGCTCTGTTTTCAGCTTCTTCCATCCATTAATGCTGGAGACAGGCAAACCTCCAACAGGAGGTCACTGTCTTCTGTACAGTTAGTGGCAATTGCTCGAAGGAAATGTCTTCTGTGCCACTAAGAGCAGAGTTCAGAGATCTGACTGGTGAATAAGCCTTTTTTACTGTCGTAAGGAAATAATTCATTAATGGGCTGCAATCAAAAAGTCTTTGTGAGAGTGTTGACAGCAGAGAAAATTGCTAAGGCCTCAGCCATCATGAAGTGACAAGAAAGACCTATAGAAGATGTCTAGTCCATAAGAACATGCAGGCATAAAAGAGCTAATTACTCCTTCATCTGTCATGCTTATTCCTGACAAAATTTGGAGGAGGAGGAGGAGGTAGAACCACTGAAGCAGGGCCAAGAAGAACCAACTGAGGCAAAGTTCACAGACCAAGCTGAGATCTGGCCAAGAAGTACTTACTTTGCTTTCATTTTCGATTGTTACTCTTCTTAGCTTGAAGTAATCATTTACAACTGACAGAACACTATATGAAAGGAGTTGCCAAAGTAGGCATTTGCTCATTCAGAAAGAGGTTTAGGCAATCTAAAATATGAAGCATTAGCACAGGTGATGGTGATGGTACATTCTAGAGTTTCTATATGCAACAAGAATATAATTATCAAGACACAAACTCCCTGTAGGCCAGAATGTGCAGTGACTATAGCTGAGTACTTCATGGAATCGCAGGGTACTATGGAAACCCAAAACAATAGGATCTGAAACAGGAAACAGCAGCAGTCAACAGCAATGTGAAGAAATCCACAGTGGCAAGGGCAAATAGCAGTAGAAAAGCATATGCTGCAGAGATCTATGGCCACAAGCTAGCAGTCTGTTAACAACTGAAGAATGGCTAGCAACTGCATTATACAAAACCACTAGGCACTGTATAAGCAGATTTATGGGAAAATCTTTAAGTGTTAAAAATGTTAATGTGATGATGATGATGATGATGATGATGATGATGATGATGATGATGATGATATATTAAACTTGTGTATGTTGAGCCATATACCAATGCTTTGGAATTTGGCTGTTTATCAGGAATTATGGCAGTATTGAGCATGGTGATGATGATCATGTTATCCATTCAATCGTGTCTGATTCTTGGCGATTCTATGGACCAGCTTTCTCCACATTTTCTGATCTTATATGGCTTCTTTCAGTTGCTTTATGCTCTGGTTGGTGCTGGCTTTGATGGTGTCTAGCCACCGTGGTTTTGGCAGCCTCGTTCTTTTACCACTGACCATTCCAAGCATGAGTGCCTTTTCCAGTGAGTTTGATTGCATGACATGGCCAAAATAAATAAGGCGGAATTTTGTGGTTTTGCCCTCCAGCAATATGTCTGGCTTTATACGCTTCAAAACTTAATTGTTGGTCACTTTTGCTGTCCAAGGAATGCGCAGAAGCCTTCTCCAACCTCACAGCTTCAATGAGTTGATTTTCCTCCTGTCTAGTTTGTTCATGGTCTAACATGGTCAGGCAGTTACGGGAATGAAGATGCGACCTCATATGCATTTAGTTGCCGGGCCGATGCCCTTGCTTTTCCTTATTCGATTCATGCTCATCGTTGCTATGTGACCTAGTGGGATTCGACACTTTATTTCTGGACTGGATTCCCTGCTTTGATCGATCTGCAATCTTAGGAAAGTGAATTCTTACACACATTCAATCTCTTAACTGTCAACTGCTATTTTGACATTTCCATTCCTTGCAGTGGTCATGAGCTTGGTCTTTTTGATGTTCAAGAAGAGGCCAAAGATCTCACTTTCTTCTTTCATCCTTTTGATCAGATCTTTCAGGCCTTCTTTGGTTTTTGAGAGGAGAGTTGTATAATCCTTCCTCCAATCTTTACTCTGATTGTTGATTCTTCAAGTTCCAGATTCCTCATGATCACTTCAGCATACAGGTTGAATGAGAAAGGTGAAAGATTGCAACCTTGCCATGCTCCTTTCTCTATCTTGAACCAATCAGTGTCTCCATATGGTGTTCGAACAGTGGCTTCCTGATTTGTGTACAGTGTCTGCACCAACTTTGACCAGATGTGTTGGCACTCCCAGGTCTTCTAAAGCTCTCCACAGCTTGTCATGATTGACACAATCCAAGGCTTTCTTGTAGTCAATAAAGCAGATGTAGATGTTTTGATATTCTTGAGATTTTTCCATGATCCAGCATAGAATTGTAATATGATCACAAGTGCCACAGCCCCTTCTGAAGCCAGCTTGAACATCTGGTAATTCCCTTTTGATGGTTGGTGCCCGTCAGGCCCAGCCCAAGGACAACAGGGAAACAATCCAGCCAAGTTCAGTTCTTTATTGCTTACACCATATA